GGGTTGGATAAGGGGCAGGGAGTCCCGGGGGATGGGGAGCAGGGGGCAGTTGGATAGGGTGGAGGTTCGGGGGGGGCAGTTGGATAAGTGTGGGAGACCCGGGGGGCCTGTCAGGGGGCAGGGGTGTGGATAGGGGTTGGGGCAGTCTGGGGACAGGGAGCGGGGGAGGACAGGGGGTGGGGTCCCGGGGGGGCAGTTAGGGGCGGGGGGTCCCGGGAGGTGGCGGTTAGGGGACAAGGAGCAGGAGGGTTGGATGGGTCAAGAGTTCTGAGGGGGGCAGTCAGGGGGCAGGAAGTGGGAGAGAGCAAATAGGGGGCGGGGGCCAGGCTGTTTGGGGAAGCACAGCCTTCCCTACCCGGCCCTCCATACAGTTTTGTAACCCCAATGTGGCCCTCGGGCCAAAAAATTTGCCCACCCCTGCCCTACTTGATGATAACACAGTTTTGACCACATTATGAGGGCATCAAACTTTTCCCATTGGCTAGGCAGACCTAGATTTAACAGAGCTTTTACCTGTGGATGATCTACTAGAATTTATCTCAATCTGATAAATTTAACATTTAGTTTCAAATGCAATTATATACTGTAAAGTCCTTTATCACTTTTCTTAGTTATTGGGCAAAAGCAAGAGTGTTAGCCCTGCTGAAAGTGTAACATTCAATATACTCCAACTTGGCTAAGGCCTTTTTTCTGTGTCTGTATTCTTACACCATCAGTAAATACATTGTCCCCCTAATAAAATAAATACTAGAAGTATTTCCTGACAATGAAACGATGAAGGTTGAAACAAAGGTCCATAGTAAATCAAATACTGTTATTTTGAGTTTCTCAATTGTACAGTAGACCCTCAGAGTTTCGAACACCTCAAGAATGGAGGTTGTTAGTAACTCTTAACAAAACATTTTGGTGGTTCTTTCAAAAGTTTACAACTGACATTGACTTAATACAGCTTTGAAACTTTACTATGCAGAAGAAAAATGTTTTCCCTTTATTTTTTATTATTTACATTTAACACAGTACTGTACTGTATATGCTTTTGGGGGGGCAGAAGGGGACGTCTCTGCTGCTGCCTGATTGCGTACTTCCGGTTTCAAATGAGGTGTGTGGTTGACTGGTCAGTTCGTAACTCTGAGGTTCTACTGTATTCATTGAATTAAGTTTTCAATTAATTAAAATAGCATGCATTTGTTTTTTATTTATTGATTGATTTTACTCTTGGCTATAGAAGCAATAATTTTAATCATTCAACTTCTCCTCAAAGCCACCCTCACAGCTTATTTAAGTCCCATGACACTTTTTGTGCATTTGCTCAGCTATGATTGAAAAAAACACTTTCAAGGTTGTCAGGACTGTTTCCAAAAAAGATGTGTTATATTTTAGGGGTTATTTAAAAATGTTCAGCTGTCAAAACTCATCTTTGGAAAGTGCTAATTTTAAGTGTGAATTACTGTGTGTCACATCATAAACAAACTTGTACAGGTGTGCAGCATCCTATTTAAAAATACTAGCTTATTTATAGTCAGACACAGCAGGGCTGTGTTAGTTTTTACTTATTTGTTTGAACTGTAGCACAACAAAGGGTGGTTAAACAAAATGCAGAAAATAACTAAAAGAGGAGCTCACTCTAGAACAAACTTGAAATGAAAACCTTAAAGATCTCTGGGTCACATTAAGGTCTTTCTCCCTCCTAACTCAACTTCTCCTGCTGCTCACTCATGCAGGGAGATCATAATTCTGTGCTTGTGATAGTTCCACAGCAACACTGATGACAGTGATGTCACAGATTCAACCCTGACTTCACTGCAGGATCAAGTACAAGAAGCAGATGGGATGCGAGAGAGAAAGTCCCTATTTAAACACAATTCTCTTTCATGAGAAAGAAAGGGGCACAAGCAAAGAAACTGGTGAATGGACATTGTTTTGATATACGATATATTCAAAACATTATCATAGCATGAAAATCTGTTTAAAGGCAAGTCTTCCAATACAGTGTAATTGTAAAATTTGTTAGCCTTATAATAAATTGACCTGGAAAGCTCCCTGTTTAGTAAAACAAACCTGTGCTCAGTTTTTAAAGCTGTGTTAGAGAAATTACACATTCATCTCTTGTTACATGTACAATAATTCCTTAAATAAATTCAGTCTTAATACTCAGATGTATTTATTTGACACACTACTATTGTACTCTCAGTGCCACAGGCAAACACAATGACAGATCCCTGCCCCGAGGCATTTGTGATCTAAATTAGACTTAATACAAGAGACAATCTAATGTGATGCCCAGAGTATGGAAAGATGATAATTATAATATACAAGTGACACCCTAAGAATGGTGATGGGAACTGCACCTCAGCCACTAGACCTTTCATTTGTGACACTTCAGAAGGCTCAATTCTCTCTCCAGTCTTATTCAAGATCAACATGCAGCCACTAGGCGAACTGGTAAGAAAATAGAGACTTACGTGCCAGCAATACATAGATGACACAGCTCTACCTATACATCACCATATATGACCATAGCACTCAACATAAAATATCTCATCCAAGCACTGGACTCTGCTCATGCATTAAAAACAGCTGGCTAAAGTTCAACCCATGCAAGATAGAGGTGGGCAGAGGAAAACACTCTGAAGAGTCTGCACCCAAGGTGCAGTCTTCTTTGGTGGAAGGCGCATACCTCATAATTCATCAGTTCAGCTGGGAGTTTTGGGGTGGTTCCTGGATTGCTCACTGATGATAAGCACTCACATAGCATCCACAAGTGATGCTTTCCAACATCTGTAGCTGTCTAGAAGACTCCATCCCATCATAGTAGATGGTGACCTAACCTCATTGATTCATATCTTTTTCATCTCCTATCTGGACTACAGCAATACAATATAGCTGGGCATGAAGCCTTCAGCACATAGGAAATTCCAGCTCGTACAGAACACTGTAGCACATCCTCACCTCACCACACCGTGAGCACAACAAACCTGTCCTCTGCTCTCTACAAAAGTTTCCCCATAAAATAGTGAGTCAAATTCAAAGTCTCTGTCTTTCGCATCCAGGCATCAAGGGCCTGGGCCAAGCATATCTAAAAGACCACCACAACAGGTACAACAAAACTGTGGACCATATGGGTAAAGCTCATCTGTGCAAGGTACCAAGTTTTCTTAGGGGCTGCTCTGAGACTGTGAAATGAACTCCCTCATGAACAATGGACCATCACACCTACCAAACCCTACCAAAAAGACCCCACTACATTGGACACACAATTCTCCCCCTGGGGACAGGATGAGAGGGAGACTGAACCACACATGTTGCTTAACGCACTACTTGTCAAATGCTCATATTCTATGGTGATGAGGGTGATATATGAACCTATATGGAATAGAAATCAAAATATATACTTGGTAAGTACCCATCCAGTTGCTTCCTTTTAAAAAATACATGTTAATGTGTGAAGATTTGGGAGTGAGGACAGGAATAGGAGAGTAACCAAAATATGTTTTGAGGAGTGCTTTGAGAAGATGAGAAGAGCAAAACAACCTGGCACACAGGGCCAGAAGTATACTCCATACATAAGGGGCTCATGAGAAAAGGCACAGTCTCTTGTAGCAGAAGACAATCAAAGGAGTGTTAAGATGAACTGAAATAGCACACACAGTGAGAGCTGGGGAAGTGCCAAGAAACTAGTGTTGAGGTGTAAGCAGAAGCCAAGCCTTGTAGTCCTGAAGGTGAGTATAGGGAGTTTGAATGTGATGCAGAAGTGGAGTGAACACCAATGTAGGATTTGACCAGGCAGATATCACAGAGCTGTAGGTGAGGCAAACATTTCTGGTAACAGCACACTGGACAGACTTGAAGGATACGACATGAGAATCATGGTCAGAAATGAAGATGCTGTAGTAATCAAAGCAAGAGATGACAAGAGTATGGATCAAGATTCTGGCAGTAGGAATAGAAAAGGGACAGATTTTAAAGATACCAGAGAGGAAGCACCAGACGGATTGTCAGACTATATCTTGGAGAGAAAGAAACTGAATATGACATGAAAGTTGCAAGCCTCGATGAAGGGAAAGATGAGTTGAAATGTGGCTGGACATCCAAAAAAAGATGTCAGATACTCACAAAGCAAAGACAGGCCATGGGAGACAGATCAGGTGTGGAGAGATAGATCAGGGTCTCATTATCATTCAGGATATGAGAATGGACAGTGGGTTACCGAGGGAGAAAGTATAGAGAAAGAGCAGGAGAACGGGAGATGACCAGAAAGTTGCCTCTAATGGAATTGCTAAGAGGAGGGGGACACACTGATGTCCTAGAAGATGTAAAACTAGTTATATGCCATTATTCTTGTTGAGTCCCTCATTAGAAATTCTAGTCAATTCTAGTCAGCGCTTTAACTTCAACCTGAGAAGTCGCATGTTTTCCTACATGAAAATTGCAACCAAAAGACTTGCTCAGATAACTGACTAGGATTGTGATCTTGTTAGTACTCCTGCAGCACCATATCTCTTTCACCAGAGTGCTTATAGGAGTTTGAAACTAATTGCTAATACCAATTCAAGTCAGCTCACAATGCCATTTGCCCTATTCCAAAATTGCTACAGTAAAAGTTATTTTCTGCTACTTAGGTATTTTTTTACTTCCAAAGAGACAAACGGAGAAATCAAAGTACTCGAGTCCCAGTTCTGAGACATACCACTAAAATGAAATGACTTATTAAATCTACGTTTTATGGACTGAAAGATTATAGGAATTAAAATGGTATAAGTATGTAACACAAACCATCATATCAACAATAAACTGCTGTAAATGCTTGCCCTTCTATCATCAGAATATTAATAACTGAAAAATGAATTAGAATAATAGCAATGAGCGGTAACAGAATTCCAAACTATCAACACTTCAAAGCATGAGGTGACAAAATAGAGGGTGTGTGGACTAAATAATCTAATAGGGTCTTTTCCATCCCTAGTTTCTATAAATAAATGCCAACAGTTGGAGTACATTACCTTCATTTTCAGAAGCCTGGCATTTTACCTTGAGTACCAAATCAAACGTACTTTCTGGATTTTCCCTGGAAATAAAAAACAAGTCAATTGATTAGTCATACATATGTCACAAACCACATAGACTGATCTAGATTATCAAGCCTTCTCTACAGTGTCCATAATGTTATATCCTTTCCACTCCATTTGACACTATAAAATTAGAGAGAGAATCTCAATTATTTGGATGTTTTGTAAGATTTCAGAAGTCATATTTTCCTTCACATCCTGTAATATATTCACACACTTTTCAAAAAAGAATAGGCAACAGAAACAAGAATCGAGAATAATTATATGATTGTTAAAACAATCAAAATTCTGTGATTACACTGATAAATTGTAGTCCTATATGTTTGAGAGCTCTTCAGTCCTTTCATTATGTCATTACCCCATTTTAAATAGTCGTGTTGAAGTAAATACAATTTTAAACTTGCTGACAGTTTGCTTTACAAAACTGAACTTTACAGATGGAAAAAATGCTGCTAGTTTCTTTATTATCTATCAATTAGAAATTGGGCCTCTCTGATAGCCTTTTCCACTTCACCAGGTTGAACCACTTCTGTTTTTAAGGTATGAAGAGAGTAAACCAGTATTAGGCTTCCATCTTAATTCCTGCAAACTGAGCCATTAGCACATTTATCTTTTTAATATATTTGGTCACCAACTGAAACTTGACAGTCACCTTACTATCTCCTTCAGAAGTTACTGCCACTGGCATGTTTAAGGATTGAATCCCATACACAACAATTCAACCACTTTGAAAATATTAATCCAGTAATTATTAATTACATTTGCATTTGTTGGCTGATAGCTCATTACCCAACCCTAGCCTAAATTTAAATAATTATTTGAACAGAACAGCCACAAGTGAGTACCATTACTATACAACATTCTCTGTCTGTGAATAAACTTGTACATTTCAGTAATTTCTTGATTTATTATGTTAGGTTCAGAAGCAATCCTTAATTTATTTTTACCATTCTGAGTTATTTAAATTCTCATTCTGATGAGCAATCTGCCATTTATATTAAAAACAAATATTATAACCTCCACCATATCAATTATTTATCTAAGTAACCACATAAAGGGCCCAGGTTTGAACTCTTTTCTTGAGTAAAATGCCTACAGAAGTCAGCAGTTTTTCACAAGTAAGGAATTCAAGACTGGGCCCCAGGTTTCTAAAATGACGCATATAAAGCATATCACAGATTGATAATTCAATACAAGTTTTTAAAAAAAGTTTTAGAGGGATTTTGGACTAGAGCAAGGGCGGGCAAACTTTTTGGCCTGAGGGCCACATCGGGGTTTTGGAAATTGTATGGAGGGCCAGTTAGGGGAGGCTGTGCCTTCCCAAACAGCCAGGCGTGGCCCGGCCCTGCCCCCTATCCGACCCCTCCCCCCCCACTTCTCGCCCACTGACACACATCCCCGGACTCCTGCCCCATCCCACCCACCCTGTTCCCTGACGGCCCACCCGGGACCCCTACCCCATCCAACCACCCCCTCTCCCTGTCCCCTGACTGCCCCCAGAACCCCTGCCCCTGACTGCCCCCCGCCCCCCCATCCAACCCTCCCTCTCCTTCCTGACTGCTCCCCGGGATCCCTGCCCCCATTCAACCCCTGTTCCCTGCCCTCTGACCGCTCCACCTCCTAGCCACAACCCCGCCTCCTGACCACCACAACCCCAAACTCCCCTGCCCCCTTACCCCGCTGCCTGGAGTACCGGTGGCTGGTGGCGCTACAGCCGCGCTGTCTGGCTGGAGCCAGCCCCGCCACCGTGCAGCACAGAGCACCAGGTCAGGCCGGACTCTGCAGCTGCGCTGCCCCAGAAGCTCGCAGCCCCACCATCGAGAGCATTGCGCCGGGTGGTGCAGTGAGCTGAGGCTGCAGGGGAGGGGGAAGAGCATGGGAGGTGCCGGGGGCAAGCCTCCAGGGCCAGGAGCTCAGGGTCCCGCGGGCCAGATGTGGCCCGCGGGTCGTAGTTTGCCCACCTCTGGACTAGAGGGAAATTTTCAGAGGTCACCAGTTACTTAATGTGTTTTCTATCATTTATTTTGTCACCAAGTATTGACAATATGCATTTATATTAAGATTGATATCAAATTTCTGAGCAACAATCACATATCTTTCCACATCATATTCCTTCCCTGCATCACTTTTTAAATTATTCAATTGGAAAATCTTAAAGGAGGATCCTGAATGAGCTAGTTCTGCACTTTTTGTATTTTTTTGTCTAAGTTTTGCTCTCAGTTACACCAGTGTAAATCCAGACTACTTGAGATTTACAGGAGTGTAACAGAAAAGAAAATGATCCATTGTTTCTCCCCTCAGCTAGCAAGATCAGAATGAATCTAATTAGAGTTACACTCATTTAAATGAGGGCAAAACTGAGCTGTAAGAACCCAGCCTGTAGTGAGAAGAGTGGAATCCCTCTACCATGAAAGGGTTAAATGAAATTTAAACCTAGGTGTGTTTTTGCTCTTTTGGCACATTTTCCCCCTTCCTTAAAGGAGTGGAAAATCAGAATGCTGGATTTAACACATTCATTTCCATTAAAAAAGTGTCTCAAATACAGGATTAGGACTTCAGAGCTCAACTTCTTCACTGAATTTACAGTCAATAAGACAGCGTGTGAAAATGTGTTTCTTCCCTCTGTACACCACCACAAAGACTGCTTCCACAGAAAAGTTCTAGGTTTACTCTTCACCTCCCACATAGAAGGTGTTACTTATACTTAGAAGTGTCAAGAAATATGTCAAACTAGTGTGATATATGTCAGACTGACTTTCATTTCTATTATAACTATTAAATAGCAGATTCATCATAAATACAGATTACTGTCAGTTTACAAAATTCAGATTTAACCTCTCATCAATTACTGAATTAAGGAAATCAATGGGACTATTCACAATGGGCAAGTAGCTTCAAACCATCACAAAAAATTAACTTCACAAAAGTTACTTTGTCAACACATCTGGGTTACACTAAAATTCTCTTGAGGTAGAATTATTCAATAATCAAATAGAAAGATGATAGATTCCTTACAAGAATGTTTATAAACAACCTCTGTTTTGATGTTACTAGTTTTACACACTATTTTTGTAGCTGTTTTTCAAAACCAAGACTCATTCATCTGTATTTTTCACAAATATGACAGTAAAGTAAAATAGCTGGAATATTTTAAAAAATCACCATTTATTGGCAATAGATACAAAGAGACAATAAATAGGCAAAAAGTAGAAGTGCAAAAGTTTGTTCAGTATTGTTTTTGTAAGCCACCTAACACCCAAACAAGTCATGGTGGACATTCTTCTGAGAAGTTTCGTAGGTACCAAACCTTAGGCTGGCACTGTCTTCTATGAAGACTAGTTATGTGTATGCTCCCAGAGACAGAAACAATGGCCTGTCAATTCTTCCACTTGTGGGGCAGACTCCTTCACTGGGATGAAGATTATTATAAGGCCCTGTGTACCTTTATCTCATCCTCTGATGATGAAGGATTTAGCAAGTGGGGCTCACTTTAAGGTGCACGTACAACAGTCTCTGATGATTGAAGGGGGGGGGGCGTCATTTTGACAGAGTGTGTGTTCTCCAGTCTCTCGCTGGGAATAGAGGATACTAAAGCAAAGAGGGGTTTCTTTGGGGGAAGGAAGGGTGTGGGGTTGACGAGCTCTCCTTGTGGGGCGGGCTGTAGGATTCATGGCAGGGCGTCTCCACTGGGGGATGGAGAATTGGGTGGGGAGCCACCAGCTGTTCACTCTGAGGCTGCCAGTGTCACACCTGCGGGGAAAAGGGGATTTTGCCATGTGGACTCCCATGACAGCCCGGTGCAGTCCAGCTCCTGTCGTGCCCCGGGGCTCTGCTCAGGCGCCCCCTGTGCGTGCCCAGCGCAGAGCCAGGCCCCTGCCCCACACCCCGCCAGGCTGGGGGAGGCTTTGAGGCCTAGTCCCTCCTCCCCCTCCCTCCAGCGCAACCCCCAGAGCCGCCTCGGCCGCCCCCTCCGCCGAGCAGCCCCCGCGCCGCTCCCCCTGCCTGCTGGCACTCACTTGATCCTGCTGTCCATGGTCACATCTCGGGCCCCGGGCGGCCGGTCCGCGCCCCCGCGGGGAAACACCTCGCCCGGCCGGCAGGGAAAGGAGGGACGCGCCGGCCCCGGGGGAGGGGGAGGTTACAGCGGCTGCTGGCGGTGGCCCATGGCTGCTCCGCTCCCCCGGCTCGGGCCGTGAGCGGCGGCACCGCCTCCTCCCAGCCTCAGTTCCTGTTGCCGCGGCGCCGGCACCTTCTGGGAAGCAGGAAGCTCGGCGGTGGCCGGAGCAGCCGCCAGGGTCAGTGTCACCTGCGCCGGGCCAGGAGGCGGCTCTGCGGGGGTGGCCCTGCCGCAGGGGCACGGGGTGGGGGTGGGGACAGGACTGAACTGCTCCGGGGACACACGCGGGGTGTCGGCTGCCCGGTCCGTGCACAGTGCGGCGCTCCCCGCACCGGCCCCAGGGCCTGCTGCAGCAACCTTTGCCCTACGGGCCCGGCCCCATGCCAGCGCTGAATGCGCTCGGAGGCACAGGGCAGGGGCCCGGCTCCATTGCCTGACCCACGGTGCTGCTCCAAAAGCTCTGGCTAGGTGTGTCCCCCATGGGGGCTGTACAATCCCAGTCCAGCACAGCCCTGCACGTTTCCTCTAAACACCCCGAGCGGTGCCTGAACTTCTCCTTTCATTATAATTAACGCTTCCCTAGTTTGGGGAGGGAGAAAAAAACCCCAAAACCGCCACTTTGCATTGTTCCTCAAGAAAGACAGGCAGACAGCTAAGGTTTTTTTTTTTTTTTTTTTTTTCCCACTTTATTTCCCCAAACCCCTCAAGCTGGGTTCTCAGGTTGTTACAGGTTTAAAGGAATGAAGTTCCAATTTACACACACCAAATGAAAAGGGAAAGGGAAATAAAATGTTGGGTCAGATATTCAAAATATTTCATTACTAAAGCACATTCAGGGTGGGGGGGATGAAGGATTTTGCAAAGGGGGACTTTTTAGAAATGCCTTCATTAATCCAGAGTGAAGCAGAGGTGGCTGCTCTACTCTCTCCCAACCAGAAAACTGGCTCCCTAAACCAAAGACTCATCCTGTAGGCTCCAATATATGCCTTCCTTTACTCACTGCAAATATTCCCATTGACTTTGATATGAGTCTGGTGTCGATGCAATTCTTCATAGCGCACAATGTTAAACATGTCTTGCGGTATTTGGTCTTTACAGTTTAGGAAGGTCCAGATCCTGCAAGCGGATCCAGAGGTCCGCTCACATGGTTCAGCTTTCAGGATATAGGCCTTCACACCAGGAAGAGCCCTCAGAGGAAAAGGACAACAGAAGCAGCATACACTAGAACCTAATCCTGCAAACTATTATGGATGCCAGTAGTCCCGTTGAACTCAATGCAGCTATTCACAAAGTTAGTTCTGTGTATTTTCAAAATTAGGGCCTTCCTAGTTTCTAAGGGACAGATTCCTTTGACTTCAGATGGAGCAGCAAGCATGTAGGTGAAAACAGAATTTGAATCAGAGTCTTTTGTTGGGCTATATATAGCCCTTCCATAAACATGTGCAACTCACATTTGCTTCCAGGGGAGATCTTATGCCAGAGATGAATTTGGTCTATTCTGTTTGCAAATAGTGCAGTTATTTTGGCAACAATCATGTCATCTCTACTTTATACCATCACAGATGCATATCAGATCTTTCTATTTCATATATTTAGACACTTTTACCTAATAGCTTTATTACCACTATGTATATGTTAGTTCTATAGTGGAAAAAGTAATGGTTTTAAGATTATTTTAAAATTATAATAATAATATATGGAGATATCCTATCTCCTAGAACTGGAAGGGACCTTGAAAGGTCATTGAGTCCAGCCCCCTGCTTTCACTAGCAGGAACAAGTACTGATTTTGCCCCAGATCCCTAAGTGGCCCCCTTCAAGGATTGAATTTATAATCCTAGGGTTTAGCAGGCCAATGCTCAAACCAGTGAGCTATCCCTTCCCACATTAAGAATTTTATTTTAGCCTATAATGCTGTTAGTTCAGCTTTGTTTTGTATTGTGTCTTAAACAAATTGTACCCCAAAATTCTTAACAAGTAATCCAAGAGAAGAAACTACAAGAGTAAATCACCAATTCTGCAAACACTTATACACAAATAACTTTATGGACTGTAGTAGTCCCATTGAGTTTGGAATGGGATAAAAACAAAAGCTGGCCCTAAGAATGCACCAAGTCCCATTCACCTTAGGTGGTCTGGGCAGCCAAATTCCCACCTATACCAAATTTCCTTCACCTCATAATATAATCGCAATGAAAAATGCAAAAAGCAGAAATTTTACAATACTGGGCCAAATAAAAAATGCCCTTAATTTCACTGCTCCCTCTGAAATTAATCATAATATCAGCACTTGGTGAGTGGAATACACTCAAGCCAATGGTCTATTAAACACATAAAGCAGCACTCGTACATTACTGAAGTTGAAGAATCAAGCACTCAAAGAAGTCAGGAAATGATAAACAGTTTTCCTGCTGTAATATTAACTTGGCCATGTTGCACATCCTATTCACCATATGGTATATAAATTAATAATAAAACATATAGAATGTGCAACAAAACCAATTTGATGTTGAAGCAGAAACATTAGCTTTTGGATTTTCTTGACTTTTGAGTGCTTTCTTTCTCCAACTTGATGATGCATTAATTTGTGGGCGTAGTTTCAGAAGCACTGAGCATATGCAACTCCCACTCCCACTGAAGTCAATGGGAGCTGTGGGGAGTTCAGGATCTCTATAAACCCAGACCATCTTTAGTTTAAATGAAAAATAAATGAATTGATTATGTGGTAATTGAGGCTCCTAAGAGGAGCACTGAAACCTGCTACCCTTAACTGACCAACTACCTAAACTGGACTCCTCTTTGGGGATTGAATGGGGGAAGTCTTTCAAGTTCTGGCCACAAAATAAGCAGTAGGCTGTGCAGGTGCTCAAAAGGCCTCATTTGGAATATGTGCACAGTACTAGTCACTTCATCTAAAAAAATATCTTAGGAGACATTACTAGTCTCATTGGAAGTTTTGCTATTGATTTCACTGAGACTAGCATTTATTTCAATTTCTCTGTCGCTATTCCAAGCTGTAAATGCAGTACAATTACAATATGACAGTTCCTATTCAAAATTCTCCAAAACAAGAACACAAGCATGACTTTCCTAATTAGGGTGCCCAGCCTATGATATTTACCTCAAGATAATATTAAAAAATAGATCCTTAATGGCCCATCCCCTAAACCAATATTAACCCTTAAAAGATTTGGCCTTTAGAGAAGAAAGGTAAAGACTCAGTCACTGATTCAATATAGATACATTTCTAGAATGCTGTGAAGATCACTCGCCAGACATCAGTAAATAAATGTCTAAAGTACTTCAAATCATTCCATTCACCGTCAGCTGTCCTCAGGGTGTGCTTAATTGGGTAAACTGTTCTTCACATTTTTTAATATTATGTATCCAATTATTTGGATTATTTCCTTTAATGGTAAAAAAATTAACTTTTGTTTTAGGGACAAATGTGAGTACCAAAGACATCTTGTAAGGGTGTGTGTTTGGCCCAATAAAAGTCTTACACACAAATTGCACTGTGCTATCATTAATGCTCAGGAATGCAACAAACTTAGCTGTCACTACTCATTTGATAATGCTATGTCTCAACACCATGCATGTGCCACATGACAACTGTATTCTGCACAAAGATGCACACACCTCTGTAAATAAGCAGGTAGACATCCATATTAATGAGTGAACTCCCAGGGAGAGGTCAGTACTAAGGTAGGAATGAAGATTTCCAGGCTTTCTAATTGATGTGCCCTACCAACTGGGCTAAAAAAACCAGCTCCACTTAAGCAGGTCAGCTGATATATTCACCTACAATTTATCACTTCATTAGTGAGTGCCAAGTATTTCAATACATCACTTCAATATGGACATTTTTATCATTTACGTGATGTTTAGTGTGTGGGTAACTGTTGGATATCATTAAAGTACATGTCACACTTTAGCGAATATAGTGAGCGCCATAGTGCCATCTCTGCGTACCTACATATGTGTCAATTTAAAAGCAAAATATTTTCTATATAAATCTGGTGACTATCCATTGTTTTGATTCTGAGAACATAAGTTTAAGCAGGTCGGCATTCCATATTAAATCCTGTTTGTTCTAAACTTAAAATTGTGAAATTAATTGGGGAGATCGGAAGAACTTACATTAATGTCTTATTCAGATTGCACGGTTTTAAAAGACAGGAAATTGAAATGTTAAAATATTTACAGCAATATTAACTTGGAACATAGTATTTTTAAGGAGTATTTTTCAAGCCTTATTTTTCTTCTAAATGGGTAATTTAGGGCCCAATTGTGAAATCCTCTGTGACTTACCAATGAGAGCAATAGGTTTACAATCTGGCCCTTAATGTATTAGTTTGTTAGATGTGCACCATAAGTTTCAGAAGATGTGTGACATGCCCAGGTAAATTATATTGTATAAGCCTTCAGGGGGCATATCCTGCCTTAATTTTTAAACTGCCATTTTAACATTACACTAGTGTTTTGCAATTAATTTCATTTTTTAAATGAAAGACAAAAAATGCATTCCCCATGCTTTCCAATTTCTATATTTAATTGTACTGTCATGTATAAAACAAGTTGGGAATAGTAGAAAAGCATTGTGAAGAATTTCTGCTTTTCACAAACATGGCAGCTCAAGGAACTGATAGTGGAATAAAGAACCTTTTACCTATTAGGCTTTGAATCCAGCCCAGCTCAGTAGCTACCACCAGTTCTTACTAGCTGTTGATTGTTCAGTGGAGTATGTGAAATAGATTGGTGATTATAGTCCAGTTCTTACTACATATGTCCATATCTCAACTGCCACCCTTGTTAGCATACTCTAAGAAATCAAAGAATGAGCAGAGAAACTCCCCCTGTTCACTCCCCACCCGAGATAGTTCCTCCATGCAAGGTTTGAGAGACATTGACAGCAATAGTGTGAAAGCATGCACTGCTCCTGCCCATATGAAGCGATTATTAGGAAAAACTTTTCAGTCCAC